TGTTCAAAGTCGGCGAAAGTGAATGTAACAGTCAAAACTGAAGGATTGGAAGAAAAAACAATTTTGGAAAACCTTCGTTGTGGAAACATTACCACAAAATTGTCTAAAGATTTATACAAATTTGATTATACACGAAACATCAGTACGACTAAGTTCTATGCTCATGTCTACGATTTTCAGACACCTACGGTAATACAAATTTCATTTAGTCAGTATCCAAAATTAAATCTGCAACAACTTGGTATCACTTTATTGACGTAAGTATATTTCACAAAGGTACATTTTTATGGGTTTTTAATGGTCATATTTTGAAATGTTGTTACATTTTAATTTGCGACTGAAGCAGACGTTATCAATGGCCACGTGAAAGTTTTAGAACAGATAAATTAGCAATAAAAATTGGCATACAATTTTCATGATACTTTTTAATACAGATATCTAACAACTGCTTTTGATAAATTAAGTGATAACAATATAATATAACAAACAAAATATGCAAAAGATTAAAGGTCAGTTTTTACTAATGAAAAATACATAAATAATGTAAACTCGCTATTAGATTTTAAATACTAAAGATAAAGACTGGTAAACTATATAGAAAAGTGATACAATTTTACTGAAAAAGCCTATATTATGAACCCACTATCTCAGCTACTAAACTCCACTGACTCAGGCTTTAGCGTCAAAAATATTAATATTGTTGTGGCGAAGTTTAAACATCTGCTGCATATGATTAAATAAAATTATTGGCTTCTACTCGAAATCGTTTGTACCAGATGCTAAAAACCATGGAAACATTCTCAAATGATATCAGTATGCACTTTGGGATGCAAAATCGGTAGTAGCGACGGGGGATGTGTACAAAGGGTAGGGACGTAATCAACGCGAGCTTATGACTCGCGCTTACTGGGAATTCCTCGTTCATGGGGAACAATTGCAAGCCCCAATCCCTAGCACCAATGAGGTTCAGCGGTTACCCGTTCCGCTCGGCCAGGGAGGACACGATGATTCCTTCAGTGTAGCGCGCGTGCAGCTCAGAACATCTAAGGGCATCACAGACCTATTATTGTTTAATCTTATGCGGCTAGAAGCCGCCTGCCTTCTAAGAAGAATTGTGCGTGCAGCAAGAGCATGAAACTCCACCGACGGGCCTTTGGGATGTCGAAATACGCCTAATTAGCAGGCTAGAGTCTTGTTCGTTTTTGGAATTAACCAGAAAAATCGCTCCACCAACTAAGAACGGTCATGCGCCACCACCCACTGAATCAAAAAAGAGCTCTCAATCTGTCAATCCTTCCCTGTGTCCAGGTCTGGTGAGATTTGCCGTGTTGGACAAGTGCCGTGCTCTAAATATAGTCAGCGGAAAGGTACAGTCCGGAGGTTTCGATACGCAAGATGGCCAAAACATCAAGGCAACAGGTGAAAATGATATGTATAAATATCTCTGAATAAAGCAAGTGCGAAAAATTAACCAATAACAAATATAAACCGAACCGACTTTAGAGTTTCTGCGAGGAGTAAGACAGCTAAATTGGTCATACCTTAATAGTAAAAATTTGTTTAAGGAATTAAATATAAGGCATAAAATTAATGCAAATACTGAAAAATATCGGAATAAATGACAAGGATATTCGTGTCATTAAAAATTTGTACTGAAATCAAACTGCTATCGTAAATTGGGGATAACTACACCGATTAAATCTACAACGAGGAGTCAGACAAGGTTACATTTTGACGCTAATGTTTTTTCAATATTTACTCGGACCAGTCATTTATAATGGACTTGAGGTACAACCATATGGAATAAAAATCAACAGGGAACTACTTAATGTGATTAGATATGCAGACAATACAGTAATTATGTCTGATAATATTGAAGTTCACCAAAGTCTGCTTGATCGTATTCACGAGGTATGAGAGGAAATGGGCATTAAAATAAACTCAAACAAAACCAAATGTTTAGTGTTTAGTCGAGACCCACATCCCGATGCGAAGCTTCAATTAAACGAAGTCCAAGTTGAGAAAGTTCACAAAATGACATTTTTGTGAACTGTGATAACGGACAAACTAGATCCAGATATAGAAATAAACGTAGAATAGCAATGACTAAAATTACTTTAACAAAAATGAAGTCATTTCTTTGCAATAATCATCTCAGTTTAGAACTAACACAAACAATGGTTAAGTGCTATGTTTGATTCGTACTTTTGTATAGTCAATATGAAATATTACAACTGATTCTTAAAAGCAAAATAGAGGGCCGTAGAGGTAGGTGTAGAAAGAAAGAAAGTATCTTGGTTAACCTTCGAAGTACAGAGATTATTTGACTTACTTAGATTACGAAGATGGGTCAAGCGTGACCCATTCTCATTCTATTTATAAGGATGTTTTAAATAGTCAGTATTATTAAACAGTATCTTTAATTCAACAAAAAAAAACAAAGAAACATAAAAATTATGATCCCAAATTTTTGTATTTAAATTTTTTAAGATGGTTCACCATCGTGGTCTTTTTGGCAGTAGTTGCATTTAATTTTGACAATATGGACTTCTTCGCGTTTTGAATGAGTATTACAAACAAATCTTTTACACATGTCACACCTTTTTGAATATTTATTGTCACTACCCCTACAAGAATAACAACGACCTCGTTTTGTTGCAGATTTCGGCACTTCGATTTGCTTTTTTACACTAACACCGGTGGTCTCTATTGCAGCGATTACGGATTTAGGGTATCCGGTGGGTTCTTCTTGTATTGCTTCCGCTCTTCGTTTTATATTGGGCGAGGTTAATTGTTTTCCAAGCTCCTCCAGAAATAGTTTTCTGCGATGTTTTATATTTACTTGGCTGTTCCATTCAGGATTTTTCGTATTCCAGAGAACGAAAGCATTGTAGCACGCAATATCCAAAAAGTTGAAAAATATACGTAAGGGCCATCTTCTTGTTGCTCTTTTACATGTGTACTCTCTGATCAATTTATCTAAAATATCGACTCCACTTTTGGTTTTGTTGTAATCCAAAATAATCTTTGGTTTAAATTTTTGGTTTTCATCAGAAATTTCATGTTCATTGTGTAAGGTCGATAATAATACAACAAACTTATTAGGCTTGGTTACATATGAAACTAAGGTAATGTTTTTAGTGAACAAAAATTTTGAAGAATACAGTGAGCGATCTGTCATTTCAAGCAATGATTTGGGTAAACTCTTCCTATTTTTTCTGATAGTACCCAAAAGAGTTAAATTTTTGGTTAACAGTTCTTCAGATAAAGCAATATCGGTAAAAAAGTTATCAGTTGTAATATTTCGACCAGACCTATACCAATGTTCTGCAAGTGTTTTGACAACTCTTGGGCCTTGGTTACGTTCAGATTGATCACCAATCTTTCCAGTATATATCTCAAAGTTACAGCAATAAAAATTTTCAGCGTCACATAGGGTCCAAGCCTTTATACCGTATTTCTTTGGTTTACTTGGTATATAAATCAGAAATGGACAACGTCCCCTAAAATCTATAAGCTGCTCGTCAATAGTACCAAAAGCAGATGGTTCGTATGATTCCCTACAATTTTGGGCAAATAGATCAGCGATTTCTCGAATAGGAGCTAATTTATCTCGTTCTCTTCTTTCTGCTCTCGTTTCCAAATTATCAAAGCGAATATGCTTCAAAATACTTATAAATCTATCCCGGCTTAGAGATGCTTTATATATAGGACGCGTAAATGCATTATTTGTATTGGACCATAAATTATGCACCTTCTCATGGGACTCTCTGAACCTTCCACATAATATAAGTATACCAAAAAAAGCACGCAGTTCGACTAGATCAACTTCAATCCAATCCTTCATTTTTTTCTCGTTCTTACTGTTATACGCAGCTATGAACTCAATAGCTCTCTTATTGGTATACTCAAGAATCATTGACATTATACTATCAGAAAAAAATAAATTGAAGGCATCCATGCATGTCTCAATATTTTGACTTTTCTTAGTTAGACCTACGTTTTTCTGTAATAAATTACATGCCAATGTCTTACCCTTTTTTGGAGCTAAATAACGCCATGTTCGTCCTTCGCACAAAACATCAGATACGCTAGATCTTTCACTATCTATATTTTCAGAAGTTGTCGCTAAAACTTCCTCATTCTCGAGTTCAGTAATTGATAAATTACCTTCATGTGCTTCTGGCTCACAACCGTCATTATCACTCGCTTCACTATTGCTTTCATCCAGCTCTGCAACATCATCTTCTTCACTATCTGATAGGAGTAAGGCATACAACTCAGCTTCACTCAAAGGTTTATTCTTTTTCCACATTTTGATATAATACTGCACACTTCAAGATCGATGCTTGAATTAAATTGATCAACAAACGTGAAATACCGCTTTACACCAAAGTTAGACCTCTCGTCTCGGACGTTCCCATAGAATATGCCTATTAGACACTACATTACTCCCAAGGTTAACTTCTATCTACTAATATTTCTACAAACATAATCATTTTGCCTTGAATACGTTTACTGGAAAACAGAGACGGCTGCGTTTTACGTGTACCTACAAACACATTGAAAAATTCTTCAAAATCCGAAGACCGGGTCAGGACTGACCCGACATCATAGATTTTACGTAGAGGAAAAACTGCAATTTGCATGTTCACGAATGATACACGAAAAAATAGATTGAAACAAATAAGGAGAACTTACGAACAATCAGATTTGTAAAAAAATTATTTCATGAAATATTAAGAAATAAGTGAATTTCGGGTCACGCTTGACCCAGTCTTCGTACTCCGAAGGTTAAAAAACGTTCGTGAATGGACTTAGATATCAAATACAGGTCAATTATTCCGTATTGCAGAAGATCTAGAAGCCGTCGCACTGATGATCGCCATCGTCGGATAATTCTGATATGGTACGCGAAGAAGAAGATGTATGTGTATAAATCACCGTTTAGAAAACGTCTCCTTTATTTGATAAATATATTAATTATTTTTGTTTTGCAGGTCCAAGATATATGGTAGGCTTCAAGGTCATTGACCAGAGGAATGAATATCACAAGTATATTAATCAAATTAGTACTCAAAATGAACCATTCTATTACATTACTTTAAATTTAGTGAAAATTTAATAAAAATTGCTGATCGTCAATTCTTATTGGTCAATAATTAATGCGAAATAAACATTAAAATACTATTTCATTGTTCACATTGAAATAGTTATAGTTACTTAATTGTATTTATCTTTGTATAATAAATATTTTGTATTCCTTATAATATTATTTTTCGTTTATTCTTGCTTGTTTTACAGCCTTAGGGAGAACGCCCACCGAACTGGCATGGCAAGTGGCAAGTAGCAAGTAGCGCGCGTCTAGCATGTTACTTAAAATGTAACCAATGAAAACGAATGATTCAGCGCACACCAAAATGATAGTGACGTCATTCATTCTAATCATTCGTTTGTATTGGTTACATTTTAAGTAACATGCTAGACGCGTGCTACTTGCTACTTGCCACTTGCCATGCCAGTTTGGTGGGCGCTCTCACTTACATGAAAAATATTCAAACTACAAGGTAATTTCTTTATTTATCAAAATAGGGTTCCGCCAGAAAGAAAATATCGTCAAGTAGGGTTCCGCCAAAAAATATCGTCAATTAGGGTTCCGAGACCAAAAAAAAATTGGGAACCCCTGCTTTGGAGACTAATTCTTCTTTTTAATTATTGTTCGCATCACACTACAAACACTTATTTTTAAAACGTCCACAGTCGCTGAACCACTTGTAATAAACATAGTAAGGGTCCAGCCTTTACTTTCTCCTTCTTAATTGATAGCAAATTGTAGAGTTCTGGTTTCAGACAAATTTATATCTTTTAATAACGGCTGTAGAAGAGTATGAAAAGGATGTATAATTAAGTTAAAGATCGATCGACAGGTCGTGGAATGCAAATTGTAGATTCCCCTTGTTAGGTAATTCATCAATCTGTCTGCTTTGTACATTATAGAAAGCACAGTAGGCAAATATCTAAAGTTTAGTTTCGCCAACTTAGAAATCTTTGGATTTCTACTATGATTGTTATTAGATGGCGTTGTTACGTCTCTGTATAATTATTTTTATAATTATTCTTTTATGGCAGCAGAGATTGTTTTACAATTCAAAGCTTCCGCATAAGTCACTTTGAGGAGACCTAGTACGATGGATACGAGAAGATACCATGGACAGACAAAGTCACCAATGAAGAAGTACTGCGGAGGATGAATACAACTGCGGATTTGGTCAACATCATAAAGGGGCATAAGCTGCAGTACTTGGGCTATATAATAAGAATTCAAGGCAGGTAGGATCTACTTCAATGCATTTTACAATGTAAAATTGTAGGAAAAAGGGCGAAGAAGAATATCGTGGCTTGCTAACCTGAGAGCACGGTATAGAAAGACCTTAACACAGCTCTATTTCGCATAGCAACCAACAAAGTCATCGTAGCCAGAATGATCGCCAACGTTCGGAACGGATAGGCACCTTAAGAAGAAGAAGTACCGTATAATGGGGTGAATAGGATCGCTGTGGTGAATAGGATCAAAAGTACGGAATGTGTTAATTAAATCCACAATGTTTAAATAACGCGCCAAAACCGTTCCATTTCAGCGTGATGGGTTGCGATCATCATAGTCGCGTAAAGGTTGGTGATATCTCGACATGCGCAGCATGTAATACTGAAGGTCAACACATAACCTAAAAAACATTGTTAGTCACGTATTTTTGAGCGTACAAAAACTTTGTGGTAATATCCTAAATAAGGAGACGTACATTCAAATTCTGCAGTGTTTGTGGGTCCAATAGGTTAGTAATTGTTGTACACAAAGTAGTTTTTGTTCATTTTTTATTCCATAACAAACTGGAAAATTATTTGTAATTTGCTGCATTTGTTTTAGATATTTGGGGTGAATCGGATCAATAGCTGGGGTGAATAGGATCGATAGCTGGGGTGAATAGGATCAATAGCTAACGTAAATAGGACAATTAGCCGCTGTGAATAGGATCAAAAACTGGTCTAAATAAGGTTATTCTAGGTATCTACATCTTTGCTCAAGATGCCTAGAGTTTACAAACCTAAAGTTGGTGGGAAAATGTACAAAAAACCAAACCAACATGTCATTGATGCTGCGAAAAAGGATGTCAGTAATGGTTACAGTATAAGACAAGCCGCTAAAAGAAACAATGTTCCTTACACCGTACTCCATAGGCATCTTAAAAATCAAAATGTGCGTAATCAAGGAGGCCAGACTATTTTAACGGAAGAAGAAGAAAGATATATTGCTGCTAACTTGCTCAAATGCAGTGAATGGGGTTATCCTCTTGATACCTTTGATTTAAGAATGCTTGTCCAGCACTATTTAAATAGAATTGGAAAAGTTGTTCCTCGTTTTAAAGATAATCTCCCTGGTAAAGAATTTACGTATAGTTTTTTTAAAACGACATTCCAATGTGTTATCAGAAAGAATGTGCCAGAATATAAAACGAGCACGTGCAGGTGTTACGAGGGTGACAATTTCCGAATATTTTGAACATCTATCTAATGAATTGGATGGTATTCCCGCTAGCAACATCATAAATTATGATGAAACCAACCTTTGCGATGATCTTGGCAGGAAAAAAATAATTGCAGAACGAGGATGTAAATATCCCGAACGCATTATAAATCATAGCAAATCATCTACATCAATAATGTTTGCAGCTTCCGGTAGTGGAGTTTTACTGCCATGTTATGTAGTCTACAAAGCGTTGAATATGTATGATTTTTGGACAACTGGAGGACCATCTCGGCCAGATACAACCGTAGCAAATCAGGATGGTTCGATAGTTACTGTTTTGAGGATTGGATACATTCCATTGCAATTCCATACCTAAAAAAGTTACCAGAAAAAAAGGTATTAATTGGAGACAACTTTTTGTCCAATCTTTCTGTCCATAAAAGTCCATAAAACAGTGCTCAAAAAACAATATAAGATTTATTTTTTTTGCCGAGCAACTCCACACACCTGACGCAACCTTCAGACGTTGCTTATTTCAAACCATTGAAAGTTGCGTGGAGAAAAATAGTCGAAACGTATAAGAAAGGACCAGGAAGGAAGGAGTGCAGTATTCCCAAAACTGTCTTTCCCAATCTACTGAAACAGCTGCTTGAGTCTATTGAGGCTAACAGTTCTAACAATATAAAGGCAGGGTTTGATAAATGCGGAATAATTCCTTTAAATTCTGATCGTGTGCTGCGTATGCTACCTGTGGAAGGCCCAGAAAATGAAACACAAGAAGAGGAGATCAACAACTCTTTTACTGATATTTTAAAGACTATGCGGTACGATGACAATCAGCCCAGACAGCGCAAAAAGAAACTTAACGTTCCCGCTGGTCTGCATAAAGTTACAAGAAAAGCTATCAAGATTGGGGACTGGGTCCTGGTAAAATTGCCTTATTTCAAAAATGATAACAGACCGGGTACATCTAAATCTTTCAGTAGACTTTATATTTCACAAATTGTAACAATAACTGAAGACGGATATGAGGGAAATTTTTTACGTGAAAAAACTGACACAAGGGATTATTCCGGATATATATACACATTTCCAGATGTAAAGGATGAGTACCTGTTTAAATTTGAACAAGTTGAGGGCAAGCTAGACTCCCCAGAAAGACATGGAAGAGGATCTTTTAGATTCCAAATTAATTTACAGGAATATTCTAAACAAATAAAATAATAATAACCTGTTCAATATTACTTCTTTAAAAAAATGTTCATTTTTGATGTAATTTTTTTAACCTCCTTATAATTTTAAGCCAATTTTTAATCATACCTAACGAAATTATATAATTCTATTAACCACTAAGGTAGGTGAATGCGATTAAACATTAGAAAAGCACGGTCGATCCTATTTACCCCAGTGGCAGGTGAATAGGATCATTGAATAAAAAAAATTCTATAGTGTGCCACTGGGCAGTATACAACAAATTTGCACCGAAAATGATTAATACTGATGTAAACTAATGTTTTGATGTATATAGCTGAATTCTATGCCTAATAATCAGGAAGTTACACATTCCCAAAATTCAAAAATGATCCTATTCACCCCATTCTACGGTACGATCGAAATACGCATAAGTGAATCGCATAAATTCTGTATTGAAATCAAATCTCAAACGTCTTTCTCCGTTAAATAAAAATGGTTTAAAATGAAAAGAACAGATTTAAATAATGAACTCAGCAGAGAAGTCAAACAAGTAGTTAACTACAGACCACGAGGAAGAAGATGGGTCAGGCTTTAACAAGAAGAAGGACTAAATGCTGTTGTCTAAGTTCTGACTTAAAAAACATGCATCTTTCTTTAAAATTCGAACTTGCCTATAACTGACACATATGTAACTCTAAATATGCCACAATTACGATTGCACCCGTCAGACTAAGTCCCTGAAACCCATAATACATTTTTTATTTCTGTCTTTATTGAGATATACAGTTTAATTAAACTATAAAAATTAAAAAGCATTTTTAAGCGGCCACAAAAATTTAGTAGTAGATAAAAAGTGAAGGGACTTTTTTAGACAAATGAATATTGCGCAAAAAATTGTCTTGCATGTCAGTTTCCGTTTTTGTGTAATGTCGATCAATACTTTAAAATGTCTTATTTTCTTTCTACGCTCGAAGATAAAAATATTCGCTTTCGTCTGTGGATCAGAAGATTTCGGTATCTGAAATGAAATTTTAGTAAAAAATGGGGTGGTAGAATATTATATAATGTTAAAATTTTTTAGAATATTTTATACAAGTACAATTTATTTCAACTCATTTTTAAAAATCACAAATTATATTATTTATGTATTTAATTATTAAACAAGTAATCATTGTTACAAATAATTCATATAGACTAGTGCCAAAACCTTTAAAAATCGTTAAAAGTGAAAAAAAAAATAGTAACAGAATGGAATCTATTGAAAATATATAAAGAGAAAGAAAATATGACAAAAATTAAAGGAAAAATAATTTAGGAGCGATCTGAGATCAGTCAGTGGCACGAGGTGAGTTTTGAAGGGCGAAAAAAGGTTATTACGATTTCCGACAAAACCGTAAAATACCAATGTAGGTAATTTACTACTTTTAAATTTACATTTTTTTA